GCGTCCCCAGAGCTGAGCACACACTGGGTGCTCAATAAAAGTTTGATGAATGAATGACTGAGGCTGGGCGACTGGGGAGGGAGGGGAGGCAGGGATCTATCATGAGAATTCAGGAGTTACAACTTCAGATGCGCCAGGATGAGAGCAGCTGAGACACCTATGTTCACAGAGAGGAGTAGCTGGGACCAGGGTGCATAGCACCCCGGAGCCCCCAGCCCCTACTCCGGAGCTGACTGCCAAACCCGTCTCCAGGCCCAAAAGGTGAGAGTGACTGCTCAGAGAGAGACTTGGGGGCTATTTTCATGAATAGTTCTTTAAAGCTGTACTCTGTCAGAAGAGACCAGAGCAAGGAGGAGAAAAGCTTCATGAAAAGTGAGGAAATAGGTTAGAATCTGAAGAGCATCCAAAGTTAGACATAGGAATGAGTAACCAAAGGTTAGTTTCTCCTTCTCTGGAGCCCTTTAATAGGACAGTCAGCCATCTGTTTGGATGAGGGAAGGGCTGGCCCCTGGGGAGCCCAATTCACAGGTTCCAGCCTGCGACAGCAGGGCTTCATAGCCCCAGCCCCTGGGCCTGGGTGGAGGGGGCGGTGGGAGCGTGGGGAGGACTGAGACCCAACCAGGCCGACCCTTGGTGTGCACTCCCTTCCTCCTGGTTGTCAGGGGAAGTTTTTAATTAATGGTGTGTAATCTGATCTGGCCCTTCTCCCCGCTGAGCACTGCCTTCAATCAGCAAAGCCATCTGCAATTGCAATTCATAATTCTCCCGAAAGGGAGTGGGGGGTGCCTTGGTGATTAATACAATTAGCCTTTTATGTTGATGATTGTCTTAGCAGGAGCAGATGATGTGAGCCCAGAGCCTAGGCTGCAGCATCCCCATTGGCTGGCAGGAAGCCCCTCTCCACTTCCCACCCCCACTGATACCTCTGGCTGGAAAGAGGACACACTGGGACCGCAGTGTGCGGGGACGGAGGGGGGGCTGTTGTGGGAAGCCCACGAAGGGGCCAGGCTCTGGGACACATTTGGGCTGCTCAGACTGAGGGCAGAGGAAGAGAAGACGATGATCCAGAGACTTTCACTTTCTGAAGAAAATCACTTTGACTTAAAGGATTCTATACACCTTATAAAAAAAAAAAAAGAAGAAGACTACATAAAGGTATAATAGGGGTTGAAAGGGTTGAAAAAGTTTAAATACAGGCTCAGGCAGTTATAACTGTGTGAACTTAAGCAAGTTACTTAAGAATCCTGAGCCTCACTTTCCTTATCTGGGAAATGGGGTCTATTCAATAAGGGGGCTGGAACCACACGGGACGGGATGTATGTGGTTAGCAAGGCACCTGACACAGATCTCAATTGGTACGGTTGTCACCATCATTGCGGTAGACGGTAGACTGCTGTTCCCTCTGCTGCTGGCTCAGCTGCTTCCGCACAGTTCCTAGCGCAGCCCAGCAGCCCAGGCGGCTATTACTAAAGAAGGGCCCACTCCCTCTCCAGTCCCCAGCCTTAGTTAGCTTAAGCAAAGGAGAGGGTGTGTGAGTGTGTTGGGGGAGGAGGATCCCAGAGGAAAGAGGAGTCAAGAATCACACCGAGGGCCCTGGGTGGCTCAGTCGTTAAGCTTCTGCCTTCGGCTCAGGTCATGATCCCAGGGTCCTGGGATCGAGTCCCAAATCAGGCTTCCTGCTCGGCAGGAAGCCTGCTTCTCCCTCTCCCACTCCCCCTGCTTGTGTTCCTGCTCTCACTATCTCTCTCTCTGTAAAAAAAAAAAAAAAAATCTTTAAAAAAAAAAAAAAAAAAAAGAATCACACCAAAAGGGCATCTGGCTCGCTCAGTTGGAAGAGTATGCGACTCTTGATCTCGGCGTTGTGAGTTCGAGCCCCACATTGGCTGTAGAGATTACTAAAAGTAAATAAATTTTTAAAAAAAGAAAAAAGCGAATCAAACCCAAGAAAGAAAGAAAGGTCTCCCCAGAACAGAGAGGTGGAGCACTGGAGTGATTGGGGCAAGAGTTGGTTTGCGGGAAGATTCAGGGAATGAGAGTAAGGAGGCCAGGTGGGTATAAAGGGGTAAAAAGAGGCAGGACCTTGAGCATCTGGAATTTCATATGAAAGCTAAGAAAACAAAGGGGAGCAGCCATCAGAGCTGAGGGTTTAAGAGGTAGCACAAATCAAAGTCTGGGATCTCTGATCTATAATAAGGTCAAATGATCCAAAACAAGCCGACTGGGTACTTGATGGGAGAGTACACTGGGTCAGGAGAGGGTATTGCCTCAGCCCCTCCCAGCCCACAGCACTGCACTCCAGCACCCAGAGCAGCGCGGGAAGAGAGCTCCTTATCAGTAGGGAAGCTGACCTAGTGCTAATGGCAGGCCCCGGCCATGTTAGCGGGGGAAGACAGGGAGCGAAGAAGGGAGGGGAGCAGTTAAGGGTTAATCAAGAAGCATCCATCCGGCTGAACAGTGGCCACTCGGGGCAGCTGGGGCAGGGTCTGTACCTCTTGGGGAGGGGCGGTGGCAGTCAGCCAACGCTGGAGGGGAGGCGCGGTTAGGGAAGGGGGTTTAGGAGACTGTGGAGTCTGACAGCACTGATTAGTAGGCTGTAGTGAATGGGCAGAAAAGGGAGAAATGCAAACTGTTTCAGAGCTCTGATTAAGTCAGCGAAAGGGGCAGTTACTGCCAAAACTGGGGGTGGAGGATGCCACTGACGGTGGCAGGGACCAACAGCTACCCGCCCCCCTCCCCAGCTCCGCGGAAGGATGGAACAAGGCCCAGCCAGGCCAGGGCCCAGCGTGAGATCAGAGGAGAGGCCGGGACGGTCATTGGTGTCCAGTTATGAGGCACTGGGCTGGAGGTGCCTCTCGGTCCAGGGTATGCTTCCCAGGCCTCTCTAGCTGCCCTGTGCATCCTGAGATGCTGCCTAATGTCATCACGTCTGAGGCTGGTAAGCCTCCAGCCCCTCCCTCCTGAGCTCCCCCA